GAAAGGTACTTTAATTGTGCTTTGAATTCTGCTGCTTCATTTGACACTGCTCTGCTTTTTGAACTGGAAGAGGTGAATAGCAACAGTTCCCTGTGCACCCTCTGTCATTTATCCCCTCTTCACCCTTTCAGCCTTCCTGGTACAGAAGTCCCATCTTGGTTAACAATCATTCACATAAAAGTCCTTATTCAGTCCTTGCTATGTTCTCTCTCACTTCTTTCTACCTGTTCTTAAGCTGTACAGTTCTTTTTGACAAAGGGGAAAACTAGAACATGGGGTTTATTGGGAATTTTATGCAGTACTGTGGGTAATGGTGTCTTCCCTTTTTCCCCAAGACAATATTCTGTGTGATGTGGGGTGGTCTCTGACAGTGGCTGAGCACTGAGTTTTATGGTAAGGCCTCTGACATTCCACTCAGTGTGGCAAGGGAGATAATGATTTTGTGTGTGAGGTGAGGACTGTTCATCCCTCATGGAATGCCACACAAGTGAACAGAACACTGCTCATCTGCCAGTTCTGCTTGTGGAGCTTGGGTCCATTTATAGCTCTTTATTACTCTGAATAGCCTGAGTGGCCTTACAAACTTTGTGGCTTCTCTAAACGATGAGCTTTTTTGGATTATTTAGGAATACTTGAAACAGGAAAGATTCCAACAGAGATCCCTTCAGAGCTTGCTGCTCAACCTGTCCTCACTAAGGGAAATGGGCTTTTTATTTCACATCACTTTGCTGATTATTTATCAAACTCCTTCCCACTTTATCCCACTTTATCACAGCCGGGTGCAGTTTTTTCAAGAGCTATTGACGGGGGGGCTGTTTGAGAACATGGTTTGTAAAACCTCTTGAATTGTATCAATTGGATCTTCTTTGTTTACATAGCAAGGAGCTGCTTTAGGTGGAGCACAGGAGGAATCAGAGGTGCACAAAGATGCATTGGCTTAACAGGTCCTGTTTATCTTTTGAGGGTGACTTGCAGTGCAGCTGTTTATATTATACTGTGTCAGGGCATATCTATGGGCAAGGAAAAATCTATCATCTCCTGGATCCTTGACTTTTGAAACCATTATTCCAAGGCCACCTGTTCTTATATGTTGTACCCCACAATTCCTTCATATGTTCTGGTCAGTGAGGGTCACTGGCTGTGTGAACTGGTTTGTGCCTTCCTTACTGATAAATTCCAGAGGTGAAGAGGGAAGGATTTCCTTCACTGTGGTTCAGTTTAAGTACCACAGATAAGGGACTTCAGTCTTGGAGATAATTCCTGTATCACATGGCATGTGGTGCTTTTTCAAAGCTTTCCTCTTTAGCGAATGTTAGCATTAACTGCTGGCTGAAATGACTTTGTGAGGGGAACTACGACCTCCTTATAGACCTGAATGATGGCAAGGGGCTTCCTATCTGAAATGGATATTAAATATTTCAGCAGTGTGTCCTGGAATCCAAGAGGGATCTGTCAGACCTGTAAACTGGTGGGTAAAAGCTTCACTTTGTGCCTATTTTGATGATGTGTTGCTAGTATGTTCTGGTGACTGAGGACATGGATCTTGTAAGAAATGATGGAAGCTTACGGATTGATGGACAGTTTGTAGGTGATAATGTTGGGTAAAGAATTTCTCTATGGAAAGGAAAGAAATCAATTGTCAGAGTTCTCTCTGTAAATGGTTTTCTTCAGAATAATTGAATTACTCTATTTCTCATTTATATTTGTGATCATATTTTTCAAATAATGCTGCTAAGAACTGTGTACCTTAAACGGGACTTTATAAATAAGATTGTCTTCCATAATGCATATTTAGCTTAACAAATGAGTAACATCCATAACTTTTTTGGAAGTAACTGTTGTAATAATAAATTAGACTATAAAAGTGCCTTAAATTTCTGTGATTATGTCATAATTGTATGTTGCTTTTACCATTCTTTTTTATTTCAGAAATGTTAAATTTTATTTTTGTTACACAGTTTAGCAAGACAGTTTGATCTATTGGGTCAGTTTATTTGTATTCTTTAATTTTTCCTGACCTTGATTTAGTGTGGCTGGAAAATAATTTACTCTTGAGATTTGGCTTCCACTGTTTCGATAATATCTGTATTGCTATTCACTGATCCTACAGACTGATTATAAAAAAATGTCAAACAGAAGAGGCTAACATAATTTATTGATGATTAAAAAAGGAATTAGATTCTGTACTGTTGTATTGAGAATGAAGGGGGAGGGTGTTAAGTTTGTATGAGAACTAGAATTACTTCCTATAAGACGAAAATATATTTAAGTCACCATTCCTGACCATATTTTTAAAAATTATTCTATCAGCAATTGAAAAAAAACCCTGTACTGTCTTTTCCTGATACCTCTCCTTTAGCTTTTATTCCAAACTCACCTGTATTATTACATAATAGTCAGCTATTTGATGGCCAAAGAACTGGTAATTTCTGTCCCAGCCCCGTCCTTGATTCAGTAGCTTTAATATAGTAAATAGTTGTCGTAGGAAGTCAGCTGCTGTTTGTTAATTCAGAGCACCTAATGCAGTGTTAACATGCAATAATACTTTTCAGAGTTACTTGTTGGGCTTGACTAAGACCAGTAGAGTTGTTTTTCCTCCATGATTTAACTTTTCTATTGTCTACAGCCACTAACACCCACATGTCCCATGACTGGTGTCTCTGTCACAAGATCCATGGCATGTTCAAAAAAGATGAAAATGGTCTAGAAACGGGCTTTTAATATTATCATGCCTATATTCTTAAAATTAAGACTGTATCTAAAATTACTCTCATAAATGAATATCTTATTACTGTATTAACGCTTCTTTGTTTTTGTTTTTTTTTTCTGGTGTTTTCAAAGGTACCTTGTTACCCAAGGTGTTTGAAATTCCCCTTATTGAGACATATGTGAAGTTTTTAGTGGCTTTGTTGGTTTGAACTAAAAAATCACATTTTAATACAGGACTTTGTGGTATTTTGCAAATCAACTTGTATGTTCTTAATTTGGTAAAATTGCAAATTAGAAAAAAGAGAACATTTTCTGTATTTAAAGGATCCAGCTATCTAAAATACTGAAGGTACAAAAAAAATAACCAAAATGAAAAAAAAAAAGAAGGAAAAGCCACTGGAGGTTTGATTATGTCCTGCCAGTTCATCATTTCAGTTGTCAGTGTTTCTGCACTTTGGGAGAGGCTTTAAGTAGTTTTTCTTTGGTTGAAATCCATATTTATGATTTCTTCATGGGTGAAGAATGGATGTGGAATGCTGATGAGCTTAGTTTTTGTTGGATTGTGCTGTCTGCATTATTCCAGTCTGGAGCCAGTTGTTGTGTTTCTCCCGCCTCTGATGTAAACAAGAATTTAAAGCCTCATTTAACTGACAGTGACTTCTGCTGGGCCATAAGAGCTGAGAGAGCAGTTTAGGTTTGTTGATGAAATTCTGAGTTTTTAACTCCTGGGATTAAATCCTGCATTGAATATCACGGTGGAAATGCAAGCATTTGATGCCATTTTGTTCCCTTTAGATTTTTTTTTCATTCTTTCTTGTATTGGCCTCATCTGGATGTTTGCCTGGTGGGTATAGCTTGTTCTTTGTTTCCCTTGCCCATTATGAAGTGTGTGCAAAGGGTTAAAATGAAGTTTTGTTTTGGTGGAAGTTGTGTCTCTCTGTTTCTCATTATTTCTTAGAAATTCAAGGTTCAAGAGACCTACCTTGTGGTACGTGGTACAGATGGGACTCTTGGGTTCAGTGTTGTTCTTCCCCTGGACTTCAGCCTGTTTGCTTCACCTGCAGTCAGAAGGGACTCATGGCTTTGGCATGGGAAGATCTTTAGGGAGGAGCTGGACTCAGCTGGTTGGAGCATGGTGCTGGGAACTCCAGGGCTGTGGGTTTGATCCCTCTATGATGCACTTGAGTTGGACTCAGTGATCCTGGTGGGTCCCTTCCAACTCAGAATATTCTGTGAAATGTGCCTCCATCACGTGGGAACATCTTGGCCACAGCTGGAGTGTTTGCATTCCGAGGGGAGTGAGTGTTCTCTTGAGTTGGAGAAAAGGATGGTGCCCACTGGAGGTCACTGTCTCAACTCTGGAATTCCACTTGTAATGTTTGGGGGTGTGTAGGTCACATACAGGATCTCCTGAGTGTGTGTTTACCTGGAGCAAGGTGCTGGAGTGCCTGCATTAAATCTGAATAGCCTGGGGAAGTTTTTAATGCTGGGCCTGGGGGGAGGTATGACCATACCTGCAATTCACCCTTGGTTCTGACATCTCATGTTTGAGGGAACTACTCATGTTCATGTCCCTGTTGTACTTTGGTAAATGTAGCTGAAGAATATATCATTCTACACTCTGAATTTTTAAAACTTACTTTAAAAATCAAGTTTCATTTAATATTTTTATTTATTGTATTAATATTTTCTGAAACATTGAGATGGGTTCTTATTTTCCCTGGTTAATGAAAATTAAAGATACCTGGAAAAGTGAGATGTGTTATCATGTTAGTGCTTATGAAAAGTACAGATTCTTATTCATTCTTCTGTATGTCTGCTTAAATATAATCTATGGTATTATAGGATTTTTGTAGTCTATTAGATGCACAGATGATATTTGAAATAGTTTCAACTTGGAGAAAAATCATTGCTGGAGTTGATTTCCTATTGTAATCTCTGCAATTTGGGCAGACTGTTCCATTGATGGGTTGTGGAGTAGAGTAAGAATTGAGAGACAAGGAAATCTTTGTATGCAATATAAATCACAGGATGCTGATTAAAGTGATTACAAGCCTTGCTTAATTTAAAAATCTTTTTAAAAACTCAGCTTTTATTATTGTATTGTTGAGCTTAATTTCTAATAAGGGCCGGAATAAACACACCTGATCAGGAAAAGTTGACAGGTTTTCTGGGCAGCTATGTAAGAGCTATTTTTATGCAGGGAGTGAGCTAAAGGGCTATGCTTAGAAGAAAATTCACACAAAGATCCAAGCCTCATATGTCTCTCTCTCTTTTTCCCCACCCTCCAGTGATATGCAGCTTCCGAGGAACTGTTCCGCAAGGCTTGGTCCTGGAACTAGGTGAAACTGTCCAGATCCTGGAGAAATGTGAAGGTAAGTGTGATGTCCAAGAGGGAACCCCATTTTCTATGTAAGAATATGCCGATATCTTAATCTAGTAGATTTTAATAAGTTCTTTGGAAATCATGATGCATCAAATCAGAGCACTTGAATAAAACCTACTCTGACCCACTTTCTGTAGGAAAGGCTGAATGCTCCTGGCACTAATCCAGTCTGATAGGGGGTCAGTGTGTTTGAAGTTAACCATCTGTCCAGAAAATCTTGAACCCTGACCTGATTGTTGTGTTGTAACTGGGTCTTACACTGAATTTTCATCATGTAAAGTATAGAATTAGTATCTTTTTTTACTATATTTTCTCAGTGTTACTGTTATGCATTTCTATTAAGTGTACCAGATTAATTACTTAGAAACATCTGAACAGGTGAAAAATAGTGGTTATTAAATAGATTAGCAATATCAGAAAAAATGTAAAAAATATGGGTTTAGGGGAGATTTTTTTGCATTTATCTTGATGTGTATTTTTGTACCTAAAGCAAAATGCCGTTGTAAATTTTATAGTTCTTATGTGGCTGGAGATGTCTCTGTGTGAATAAATTGAATGTCCTAATACTCTGCTTTATGCACAATGAAGAATGTGATTGAAGTTATATGTAAAAGGAGAATGATTCTTATCCTAATGTTCAAGCAAGTGTTGTAAAAGTGTCTGGTGAGAAGTAGGTTGACAAGATACAGTAAGAGTACTTGTTTCACTGTAGTCTGAGGTGGAATAATGTAACCTTATTCCTGAAGTGTTGAACAAATTCAAAGCCCAGATCCACAAATTTGAATTCCAAATCAACATTCCACAAAGTTGTAGATTAGGTTTTTTGTTTGTTCAGTTTCAAGTAATTTTTCCTCTCCACTGTAATGTTGCTACCCAGACCTTCTGCATGCTTGTCAGCAGGCTCTGCTTTGCCTCTCTCATGCTTAGAATTGTCTTTTGGTCTTGATGCTTTTTTCTTGTACTCAGGTGTTTGTTTTCCCACTGACTTAACTTGTCACAAAAAAGTCGCCTTCTCTGTGCTATTTTTCTAGTAACATACATTTGTAAAAATTCTGTTAAATGAGAGCTTTGCAGTGCAGTGGAGAAAACTACCCACAAAGAAGCTTGCTGTAAACAATCCCATGTTTTTTTAAAAACCACAAGTGCTATTATGGGCTAAGCCGTGCTCACACACTAAGGGCAGATTGTAATTATTCTACCAGGTCTTGAAAATTAGAACGTGGTGCTAGCTCAGGAAAAAAGTATCCCTTTGCTTAGGATGGGATAAATCTAAGGGAATTAAACATTGTATGTTGCTGAAAGCAGTCATGGTATTTTACAGCCATTTCTGGAAAATTTTTAAAACTGGGAGATAAAAGCATGATCTCCAACGAGCAGGTTTTTTATGGAAAAGCAAATGGATAATCCATCTTTTCTTTACAGTGTTAAAATAATTAGGCTTTGACTATTTCCTTTGCTGGTAGTTTTGGGGATGATTCCTCAAGAGCAATTCATGCTAGTCTTCAAATTGCTGAGAAAGGAGGTCCTCAGACAGGGTTTTCCTGGATGGAAGATGGTTTGTACAGAATTTTTTTGGTTTTGTATTTTAAGCCCTCCATCCTGTCATTTTGGTTGAGGTGCCTTTACCATGGGCTTTGTGTATAAAAAGATTAATTTTGATAATAACATCTGGAACTCCACACTGTGAAACTCATCTGAATATTCAGATGGTCTGTGCTACAGCTCTTGCATGTGTGAATTATGCAAAAAAGCACACTAAATGTGCAAAGTAGGCTCTTAAAAGGGGAAAAAAACCCAGTTGCTTTTTAAGCATTCTTGTCTAAGTGGTTGTTTAACAAGGTCCTCTACTTCTGCATTCTTTGCTGGGGATTCTTTTGTGTAGACAGACTGGTTAAAGTAATGTTAACCCACACAAAATAAGGGTCACTGCTGTGAGAGTCACAGGAGATCCATTGCTGTTTCAGCTTCACTTCTTGAATAGTTTATGTATAATTGTCTGCAGCAGGGATTTTTCAGTCTGGATTGAAAAGATTCACATACACAAAAACTTTTAGTGATGTGAGCTATGATTTCAGGGACTTGCCTGAAGAATTCGTCTCAGAGAATTCAAGGCTGACAAAGATTCAAAGAGTATCTATACTTCTGAATGTGCTTATTTTTAATCATAATAATTTACTGAATAACTGTATTTGTATTATAAAAGAGAAAGTGTTCTTCTGTAGTGATTGGTGTAAGAAGCAGTCCCTGCTTTTAGAGCAATTGAATGAAAGAGAAGGTAATTTCCTATTTCAAGATTTTGGCTATCACTGCAGCTAAGTTTTATAGATATTTGCAGAGTAAAGAAACAAATGTAGGTGCATGCACCCACACCCATACATAAATACAGGTATTTATCTCTAAGGCTAATAAATATGAACATAACTACCAACTGATAACATGTTAAAAAATACTGTGGCTATCTATGTATTCTTTAAATGAAATAGAGTGAAATAGTCGTCTTTTTTAGTTTGGCTCTTGTTCACATGCTTGAAATGTTGGATTTCCCCAAATTTGTGTTCCTGCCCCTCTGTGTGCCTTCATACCAGACCACAAATATCTAAATCACTGTTTTTTAACCCTTCCTAGGTCTGACAACCCCCCTCCCCCTCCCCCCACTGCCCACTATTCCAGTAAATAAAAGTCATGGACTTGGTACCTGCCTCTCCTCTGCAGCTGCCAAAGGCTTCTCCCGTGTTTCCATCAAGCACACACCGTCTGCAAAGCACAAGGTCTTACCAGGGAGGTTTTATACTTACTGCTTTCACAAAGGACTCTCAGATCCTCCACTGGTCTTACTCAAAGGTTAGAAATGTTCATCAAGGCACCACTTGGACCTGTGCTTGTCATTCACAGCTTTCTCCTCTCTGACCCCCTCCACTGTGATCTTGGCACCGAGAGAGAGCTGAAACACCAAGTGGAGCTCTCTGCTCTGCCTGCTGTGCCTTAGGGGCATGAGCGTGGCACTGAAAATGCTGAAAGATGGAGTTTTCTTTTGTCAAGTGGCAAAGTATAAGCACATTCCTTGTTTGAAATATACATTTGGACTATGCATTCTGAAGTGCACTCTGTCTTTCAAGTCACATGGCCATTGCCCTGCCACAGGCAGTGGCTGTCAGTAACTAGTGGCATTCAGACTAAATTTAAAATGTCTGTTTTGTCCATTTGTTTTTATTGCTCGAGGGCAATTTTCTTTAGATTAAAAAACTTCAGAAACTGTAATTATTACCTTGAGAATTTTGTATATTCACTGAAGAATGGAAACACCAGCTGATGCCTGAAGCACTAGTTAAAAGAATATTATCTTGCCCATGCAAATTCTGCTATCCACACAAGTATTTATCTACATGGTTTTCATGTGTGTAGATTAATAATTGTGTTCTTAAACCATGCATAAAATATATTTAAAGTTATTCCAGCAGTGATGGCACGGTCAAAATAAGTGTTTCTGGTCTTTGGGACACATAAACAGCAGATATAACTCGCAATGAGGGTTTTTAAAAAGTTCTTGATGAATTCAGTGTGCTTGAGAAGTGATGCCTTTGCCATGCTTCCAAGCTGTGCCATACAGATGAGGGAGGAGTCCCACTCCAGGCTGTCAGTGCTGTGGGAGCCCTGCAGGTTTCCTCCCATCTGAGTCAGGAGCTCACCTGTGGCTGTCTGGGCTAAAGTGACTCCTTCCCAGTAATTTGTTTTTGGCCTGAGGAAGATGTCTCCACTGAGATATCCATTTTCCTCTTGGTTTCCCCCCCCTCCTTTTCATTCTTTTTTCCCTCTTTGCATTTTGTGGACTGTGCCCATGGAAGTGAAGCCTCTCAGACTCACACCTCTGCTGCGAGGAAAGTCATCTTTCAGAGCCCAGGAGCAGCTTCTTGACAGCCCTCTGGCCAATGCAACAATAAAACACATCCCATCTCTCTTTGCCTTTTGTCGTGGTAATAATGCAGCCCTGGCAGCATTATCAGCACGTTCCTGCAGCTCTGCTGGCCCAGGGCTGCTCCCTGACGTGGTGCAGGCAGGCTGGGCCAGGGACTCAGCTGCTGCTCCTTCTGCCCGAGCTGAGCTGCCAGCATGGGACAGAGCGCTCCCGGCTTGGGAAGCTTGTCCTGAGCACTGCTCCTGTCCCTCTCCTGAGTCACTTTGGGTGCCTTCAGCTCTGCAAAGCAGTTCACATGCAGATAACAAGGTAAAAGCAATTGTTTATTGGCTTGTATGTGCAAAAGACTGCTTTACTACAGGTGTGAAGGTTACTCACGTTACTGCCATGTACATTTATTTTTATAGCACAAAGAATGATTGAGTTCCTGTAGGAGATTCTACTAGCAGTACTTTATTTAAGAACAAATTTTAGCTTTAGGATTTACCATAAATACTTACATAATTTATTTTCAGAATTTTGTTTGTCAAGAAGTTATATGCAGAATTTATTTTTTCTTACAGTCTGCAGCTCATGATTCTTTACTTAACACTGATACTTGAGCATTATTTTTCTGAAAAGTAGATCAATATCTTTCAATTAGGACCCTTTTGCTTTTTTGTGTCCTCTAAAGGGATGAGCTGTTCCACGGACAGACCTCTTGTGGATTAAGTGGAAATCTGAAAAAGGTTGAGATGGCTTTTAGAAAGAATATCCATTTTTGTTCAACACACTTTCAAGTAAAGATCAAAAAATCATTGATAGCTCTTCCAGTCTCTGAAATGAAGAGGTTGAAATGTGCAGGACTGCCCCAGAGCTACTTTTGCACTTAACTTGGGCTGCACTATTGCTGAGACTGTGAGACACCTTTGGAAAGAGGTGTCTTCAGTCTTTGTCCAACAGTGTACAGATCCTCTAATGTGACTTCAAGTTCCCCCACTGGATTTCCACAGGTACAGGTAGTTTTAGAGTGGCATTTCTGATAGACTAATTCTTGGTTTTCTTGCACCAAATGAAAGAAAACCAAGTGTGTGATATGGAATATCCCTTTGGCTGATTCAGGTCAGCCATCTCAGCTGTGTCCCTTCCCAGCCTCACTGCAGGCATGATCATTGTTTCATATTAATTTATGCACAAAATTCTTGTCACTTTATAGCTGTGTTTTTCCATTTCTTGATCTTAAATCCCATCTTCTTCACAATTTCTGTGTAGTCAGTACCCTCTGAAGACCATGTGTCACTAAATGCATACCATAACTCTGAAATATTATTATTTGCAATTATTATTTGCAGTGCAGTGACACCTAAAGCTGTTGGTCAGTGCTTGTTGGGGTCACAATTAGCTGAAACACCTTCCTCAGCTTGATGACTATTGTCATTAAATCCTTCAAAACAAATGCTCTTGAAGATAAATTATTACATCAATATTAATGTGTTTAAGACTAATTCCAGAATGCAGGTTTAGTTCATTAGGGAATAATGTAATGCAATTTTCTAAATGTGCCTTTAAAAAAAGCATTGTACTTTTCCCCATAGCTTTTACTTTGTGATACAGAATGAATTGTGCATTTTACAGTGTGGGGCTTTCAGCTTCTGCTGAGCTCCTTGAATGTCTCTTACTTGAACAGAGTTAGAGAGGGGTGACTTAAAAAAAATTATACTACATTAAAAAAGATAAAAATAAAAGAACAAGCAAGATCTGAAGAGCACAATTTATAAGATTAAAGGAAATTTAACAACTTCTCAAATATATGAAAAAAACTGCAAGAGGGAAGTCAACAAAATGTTTTCCATGATACCCAAAAGAAAAAAACATCCAATATTCAAATAGAATCAAAGAAAGTTCAGGTTGTAAAGGGAATGTATGTTGTCTGAAACACTGAAATAGGTTGTCCAGTGATGATTTGCCATCTCCACTTGACATGAATATGCCAGATTTCCAAGTACTGTACCAAAATTTCACAGGTTACCTGCAGTTTTCCTGGCCATTGTTGATCTGTAAAAAAGGTTTCTTCTAAAAAGTCACCTGTGCAACACCACTGCTTTCAAACTGGTCAGTGTGGAGTAGCAGAAATAGAGTTTCCTTGGAATTTGGTGCAGAAATACCTTGGATTCTAGGTTTTATAGAGTATGGGTCATTTTCCACAGCCAAGGAGTGCAGTGTTATTCAGCCCTGATAATAAATTATTGGATACTGTTCAAACCAGACTCACTGTGAGGAGAGATTTAGAGACATGGCTTGGATGAGCTGGGTAATTTCTCAGGGTCCTTCCTTGCCTGTTTTTCACAACTATGTAAACACAGAGCTTGTAAACTTTGAAAATTTGTTTTGGAATGAAGAACAGAAGCTTTAGAAATTAGCTAGGTTTTTGTTTACTACCCTGCTGATCTAGATTATTAATGGTCACCCCCTTTACTGGGTTTTGTTTTTTTACAGGTCTGTTCACAAACTTGGATAAAACCACTTTTTTCCCCATTTACTAAGAAGTTTGTAATTCTGTTTGTCTTAGAGCTTAAATGTCTGGTTATTTCTGAGGTGCAGACTGTATTTAATATTAGTAACAGTGAATCACAGGATAAATGCATTTATTTTTTTCTGTGACCTTAAAAATATGCAGCATCTGTTGCTCAAAAGCAGGTGTGGGCACAGTTGTGTGGAGTTCTAGAAATCACTCATGTTAAGGATCTGTATGTGTTGTTTATGCATCTATGTTTATATTGATATGATTGCCCTAAAGTTTGATCAACTAAAATTAATTCAAAACAACAATAGTTTATTTTTAAAATATAAACAATGATTTCCTAGAAAAACAAATCTTTGCGTTATGTCCTATCTCATGAGAAATGTGTAATGAAAAAGATGGATCTTAATTTTTACATTTTTTTTCTGTACTAAGTTTTGCAGTTGTCTTGAATTCATCTGTTTTTTATTTCATATTGACTTAGATTCCCTTTTTAAAACAAAATAAAAATTCAAGACTATTAGACTGTCTTTAAAGTGAATTCAAGGCCTTCTTCCCCACATCTGATCCTCTCAATGAGACTCTTATTATAAATCAGCCAAATCTGAAGTCATTTTTCTAAGAGAGACAAAATACCCAGTTCCTTTCTTCTGTTCTTCTCTATTCTCCATAGCAACTTACTGGCAGGTTTTGCCAGTGCAATTTAAAATAAGGGAGGGAAAAAGTAAGTAGGAAGTCACCGTGAAAATGACTTTTGGTGGGAAGTGGATTTAGCTGATGTGAGGTGCTGGCTGTTGGCAGGTGAGGGCTGTGCCTGGCTGACACTGGCTGCAGCTCTCTGGGGGCTGAGCTTGGCTCGGCCTGGCCAGGTTTGCCCAGGAATTTGGGGTGGCCAGGGAGGGCCAGGCCCCCTCCCCAGAAAGGCACCCACTGTCCCCTGCAGTCCTGGGCTGTTCCAGGCCCAGCTCCAGAGTGTGCTGCTTTTCCACTCCTCAGCTGGGTGAGGTTTCCAGCCCCTTTAGTCCCAGCCGAATCCTGCAGTGACACCACTGTCACCTGTGGGAAGCAGCAGGAACTGGGTTCTTCTGTTTAACTTGCAGCTTTAGCAGCTTTGTGTTTTACTTCTTATTTATTGTCCTGTCTGGAGCTGTTTCCTGATGGAGAATACAAGAATAATAATGGGCTGTGTAAATTAGATCCTAAAGCCTGTTCTCTCCTCAGACATACGTAAGACCAGACACATGCAAAGAATTTATATTTGTTTAAAGCACATTAGAAATGTATGATAATGGCTTTTACAGGTTTCTGAAGTCTGGAGATTTTGTCAAGATAAACACTGCAACAAGACTCATGTGCCAGCCTGGAAGAAGTGTTCAGTGCAGACTCTTCCCTGAGTGCTGAATGAATCTTTGCCACAATGACTAAGGATTGTTAGTATAGGAACTAGCTAATCTGCTTTTATTCCTGGTGGGAAAAAACAGAAGCATTGCTGGTTGTTAAGGGTTTGTCAATAGTGCAGAGCGAAATAAAAGTAATTTTTACAAAACACCCTAATAAAAAAATATTTTAAAAATTTCACCTATGTGAGGCACAGCTGTTTTTTTAGATTATCTCAGTAACTGCATAGCTGTAGTCATTTTGCTTCTGTGTAAAGACAGCAGTGCCACAAATAATTATAATGTGTTTTATCTGGTTTCAGGTTGGTACAGAGGTGTTTCCATTAAGAAGCCCAGTGTCAAGGTAAGCATGAATACATTTGTTAATCTAATGGCAGATTAAATCTATTTTACTGTTGCAATCCAGTAAACTTTTTACTTTCCTTCTCTTTTTTCCTGTGGGAGGATTGGATTTCTTTTTAAATTGAATGATACTCATTAATCACTCAAAGGATCAGAAACCTTCCTGACATGTAACATGTAATTTTTTCAACATTTATAAATCTCATCCAGTTTGATCCTCTCCACCCTTCTCCCCTAAGAAAAGCATAGGTGGGTGATATTGCACTGCTTAAATGCAGCATTTTAAAGAGCACATTTAATAAGGTGAGTTATTAATCTAAGACAACTTTGAAAAAAGTCTGTTGAAAGAGGATTTTATAAGTTGTTGGGGGTGGTTTCAGATTTTTGTATTTTAACCATTTGATTATTTGCCATTTTTTTTCCATTGTTTTTGCTCTTGGAGAACTTTTTTGACTGTTCTGGTATGATTGTTTTTGTGAGGGCATCTAAGTTTTTTTAAAATGTTTGTATCCAAACATGCCAATGGGTGCCTCTATATGAGCTTCACTTTATTTTCTGTTGATTTAAATATTGCTTGTATTTAAAGAGAGAATAGTACCAGATCCCTCATGTTTACCTAATACCTATGTATTATGGAATATAAAATTACCTGTATTACATTGTCATGACTATAATACTCTCCCAATGAAATGTCTGCAGTCATTGTGTTGTCACTCCTGCTTGTGTATATGTTCAGCTTTGATAGGAGAGCCCTTCAAACCTTCCCTGGTTTCTTAGATACCAGAAATAAGCAGCATTAACTAGAAGTGAACCAAACAAGGAAGTGAAGTATAATTTCCTTGCTTTCTGGATTTTCACGTGGCTGAAAGCAAGCACATTTACTCTTTTCCTGATGAAGCCATTCCTCTTAGAATCAGCTTTTTTCCTTCTATAATTTTAGTCTTGCCTATAAACAAGAAGGAATTCTCCTTAGCATTTGGAGTCCCCAGATGATAAGGAACCTGCCCCTGCCCCAACCTGCACCCTCAACCCCAAATTTTTCTTTTGAAATTGTATGTTTTTAAAGCTCTAAAAAGTGAAAGCCCACACTTGATTGCTGACATTTTTGTCGGAGGCTGTCAGCTGGTTTTTAATCCAAAGATTTCCAGTGCTGCTACTGTATTTCCCAGTGAAGTGCAGATTGCTGTTCTTACACACTGACAGACTTTACTGTTAGGATTCAGGGCCATGTACTTTACAGAGAATGTGGAACACTGGGAAAAGGTTGGATTAAATTACCTCTTTTCCCCATGTCTCAACACAAGAGCACACTGGCACAGGCAAGGTCAGAGTCCAGCCCTCATGGGAGTAGCAAAAGACAAATAACTGGAGGTGTCCCAAGTGGGTTTGAACAGCTTTTCCTTGGAAAGGGAGAAGAACTGATAGCTCCAGGTATGCAAGTAATAGAATACTTCTGTCCTTGGGGGTTCAATGCAAATTTGATGATGGGCTTTTAGGTTTTGTTTAATTTGTCTTTTTAAGCTTCTGTCTGTGTCACTCCTAATCAGCATCAGCCTGCTCTGGGAGCTGCAGGTGCTGTGCTGCAAAGTGCAGAAGAGTCACTTTTTCTGATCTTCCCAGGTGGAGGTTTGGTCCAGTGTGGTGTCCTGGTCTAAGACTAAAATAATTAATTGCTTATAATCTGAATGTAGACTTTTGACTGGCAGCTTTGTTTGGGGGACTCTTAATAGATAAATTGGCAGTTATTTATTGTGCCTTTAGGTTACCAATGCTGAAAACTGCAAATGTATTTTTCTAATGGACAGAATTTTTTCTCTTGCAGGGGATTTTTCCTGCAAATTATATTCACTTGAAAAAGGCAATTGTCAGTAACAGAGGGTGAGTATTCTTCTTTCTTTTTTAGAAGCTACAGTGCTTTTTATCTAGAAGGGAAAGAAATAATTATTGAAACTTACAGAGATTTTTTAGTTTGTTGTACCTTTTTTTGTGTATGAGGGATGAAAATTAAATGTACTTTTACAGAGCTGGGGGTTGGCTTGTTTGTTTTTAATACAGCAAGAATCAGGTCTGATGGTTACTCTTGTTTGCTTTGGCTCATAAAATTGCAATTTTAGAGGTATCATCTGAAACACATGCATTTAAAGAACTCTGCTTATATTCTTCCATTTCTGCTTTTTGTCTCACTGGCAAAATACTGTATTTTCCTATTTGTTATGGAGGCAGCAGTCAGTACACAGCCTAGCTCATTTACCTACAGATTTTCAGAGTCAGAGCTATGTTACCTTGAATGTTTTCCAAAGGATCCAGCCCTCTCCACCTCACCCAAAGAGTGACTGAAGTGCACTGCTGACAACTTCTGCCCTTCTCTTTGTATTCATGTGTTGCTGGCAGTGAGTTTATATCAGTTGGTGTGGATAGCAGCACTGGTGGCAATGTCATTTCAGGGAAGTTACTGACTGGGGGCTCTGGAACCTGCAAAGTTTCCTGTGAGATTGACTGTGACTCCTGAAATCAATACCTTGTGTTTTCACCGCTGCTTTTACTTGCATATTCCAGCTAAAGGCTGCTGTGGGGAGATTTATAATTGCAGTGTTTCAGACAGTGACCTGAGGCAACAAATTAAATGTGGAAGATAAAATGTATTAAATGACACTTAGTGAACTACCTGCAGAAAAACAGGAGACTTCTGATAGTCTTGAATTGTAGATTTGTTCCCAAAGGGCCTCAGTAAGGGGAGCTGTAATAGTGAAGCTTCATAATTTTGGGGTGTAATAAAATTATGTATGTTGCATAGAATGACCACTCCTAATGTGTACTTCCTTTAGGGGAGGGAGCAGTTCCCTGTGATGTGCAGTTAATTAGTCCTTGACATTAGTTTAGGGTTTGTGAAGGGCAAACCAGTTCAGGTACTTATTAGGAAAGCTGATATACTGTTTAAAAGTATCAAAGCCTCATGCACCACTTGACACAACAGAATATAATGCACTTCTGAACCAGAGGGGTGTGGTTCTTTCACGTTTTGTTTGAAAATTCTTTATTTCACAATATATTTCAAGTACCATTATAAGCACTTGTGAAATAACAGAGCATGTGTTGAAGCTGGCAGGTGGCTGAACACCACACAGCCACCTGCTCACTGCCCCAAACATCCCTAGAGACCTACAGGGACTGTCCCCAGGGCTGGAGCACCCTCCTGTGAGGACAGGCTGGGAGAGGTGGGGTTGGTCAGCCTGGAGAGGAGAGAACACTGGACAGAGCTGCTTGTGACCTTTCAGTATCTAAAGGGGGCTTGTAAGATGATGGGGACAGGGCTTTTTGCAGGGTCTGTAGGAATCAGACAGGGGATGATGATGGGTTTACATTTGAAGAACATATATTTTAAGCTGTGGGTAGTGAAACCTTGGCATAGTCTGCCCAGGGAGGTGGTGGCTGCCCCATCTCTGGAAGTGTTCAAGGCCAGGTTGGGTGGGGTTTGGAGCAACTGGGACAATGGAAGGTGTCCCTGCCCATGGCACGGGGTGGAATGAGATGAGCTTTGAAGTCCCTTCCAGTCCAAACCACTCTTGTGGTTCTCCTTTAACTGTTTTGGAAAATCTTTACCAGAAAGGAACAAGTTTTTTTTCTTTTGATTAGAGGATGGATCCCTTAGATTTCATCTGCAATATTGAAAAGCTTTCTGGATAGGACATGTTAGTAGAGAGCAGGCATTTTGGGTAGTTTTGATATTGGCTAACATTTTTGAAGGGGGGGAAAAAGGGGTGGACTGGCTTAAGGAAGGGACCCAAATTGTGAAGGAACCCACTTTACAGGAAAGTTAATTTAACATGCTGTAGTAATGAAAACTTTTCATTGACCTTGACTAGAATGAAATTATGTCTTTTGAACAGGTAACCAGAAAATGCTTCACATAAGCTTAATCTTGTGGAAGGTAATGGAGGAACAGTAGCTATGCCTCTGGAGTTGCTTCAGTTTTACAACAGACAAAATGATCTCCTTAAGATATTCTCCTTATTTTGAACAAATTCAAGATCTAGAATTCTACAAATTACTGTGCCATCATATTTCTTTTTCTACTTTTTCCAGGGTACATTTCCTAATTTCCCCCTCTTTTTCTACAGGCAATATGAAACAGTTGTTCCTCTTGAAGATTCTGTGGTGACTGAAGTCACAGCAACACTGCAGGAATGGGCTGTGCTCTGGAAGCAGCTGTATGTGGTAAGAGCAATGCTCCTCTCCTTGCACATCTCTAATATCCTGGGAGAAATGTTGCCTGCCTTTGTGCATTCAAAATCCATCAGAATCAATATCAGAATTGTTGAATTCCTTGTATTTAATGAGGGTTCCTTAAATATAGAATAATGGATCATGTGAGAGTCACGTGGACTGCACTGGAACTTTCTGCAGTTCTGAAATTCTACCTTCAGGTCTGAAAATTTCATTGTTATAAAAAAAGGCAACAATTTTAAAGGGCTATTAAGTATGTAAGAAATAGTATAACATAGAATAGAATAGAATACTTTTGCAAGTCCCATCACAGACTTCAAAAATTATTCAGCACAGTTTGTAAATAATTGTTTTAGTGTCTAGAGTCCAAAAAGAGAACTCAAACTATGGGAAGTTTTGTACAATTTTTCCTCCATAAATTAGAAGTAGACACTAGGATAAGTGTATTGAGTTTTATACACATCTTTTTTATATAATTTTCAATTGCTGCCACATAATGTCTCCTACTTCTGCTTTCATCTCTCTTCTTTTCTTACATTTTAATAGCCAAAGCCCATGTCATAGTAGATAAAAAACTCGAGCATTTGAAGGTATTTTTTCCTGGCTTTTAGTAATTACAAGTCTTAACTGTAGGATTAGGATCAAGAACTGTAGGTGCTCTACGCTTGCATTTCCTTCCTGTCCTTCCTTTAGAGAAATACCTCTACACAGAGCTGCAGGGAGCTTTGTTTCCTCATTTAAACCTTCAGTGACAACACTTACATGTCTAGGAAACCAACCCAGGAATGATCCAGTGGAGTGAGTCTAGTGCATCTCCAGCATAACCAGCTGCGTTCTGTGCTTCAAAAATCAACCAACTCTTATGAAATCATAACTGGTCCTGTTCTTCTATGGGGCCAGATGTCCCTGGAGGCATTTTCTTGGAAAGGAACATTTGATCTAATGGAGGAGGGGCAGGGAACATGGTATATGTCATGTTTTATACTACTCTTTACACCTAGTACTTCTCATTCTTCCATTGTATAGCCATACCTCCCTAAGTATGGGAATAAAGTGATCTTTTCTGTTTTCATCCTGTAAGATTTTTTTTTTCTCCCCCTCTCCCCCGTGTCAGCTGAGGATGACAACAGTAATATTGGCAATGGCATTAAATTGGAAAAAGGGGAACCATTTTACCTACAAATGAGCTAAGCTTCCTTTCTACTAAAGTATTTCTTTTTTATTGTTAACACCAGTTCCTTGAGGGGAAGGAGAGAGAAAGCTCTAGCTATAAACTTTCATTTAGTGATTTTCCTTTCTGGGACTGCTTTCTATTGTAGCTCATTATATTTCTTATAACACTGCACAAAACATTATTGTATTCTTAAATAACCGGGGAAAGAATTTACTGTTCTCATAGAACTTTGGAAGGAGGCATCTGCTCCATGATGAAGAAATTGGCACAGCTTCTGAGCAGAAAACACATTTTTCTGTGTTGTGTTTTTTTTTCTTTCCCAAAAACTTACAGAAAGTTAAAAATTCTAATATAGAAATAATCACAGGATTGTTTAGATTGGAAGAGACTTCTTGAGATCATCAGCTGCCTTCTCAAGCAGGGTCAGTGCCAGGCTGACAGGACTGCACTAGCCAGGTTTTGAGTTCCTTCTGGATGGAGATTCCCCAGCCTCCCTGGGCCAAGCTGTCAATGTTTGAGCACCTTCAGTGATTTCTTATCTCCACTGATACAGTACCACAGCTTTTGTGGCAGAACAATTTACATTGTTCAGTGGGTAACAGACATTTGTCCCATCTGTGGGCTGTACATTGGAAGCCTGAGGAAATGCACTGAGGTGCCTGTGGCCGAGCTGGTTCTAGAATTTTATCCTTGGTGTTCATGCTGGAAGCTATGTAAGGACACACCTTAAAATATATTGAAAGATTAAATGGAAATCCTTGTTTGTTGTTGGATCAGCACCAGGCAAAATTTTAATTATTCCCAAACTGTAATAAAAATATCTAAGAAATATAATTGATGTTATTTATCATGCTGCTGTGCCTAGTCAGCTTTGTAGAAACATTTCTTACTATAGAGGAAATTCAAGTGGTGGTTGTTGCACAGACATCTCAGTAGGTCAGTGCCAGCAAAGGGCCCTTCACTGGTCAGTGGGGCTGACAAACAACGTGAGCAGCCTCTCTGAACATCTCTGAATAGGCCAAATGTTCACCTCATGCTTTTTGGTGAACTCCCTACCTGGATTATGATTTGAAAGACCAAGTTTGTTTCAGTTAAAAATTCCCAGCAATTACCTTGTTGAGGTGCATTGTAAGGTTTGTGTTTGTCTCTCAGTGAAACAATGGGAGCTGGGGTGTAATACTCAGGAAGCCTACAGTGACTAAAACACTGCCTGGAGAGGGATGTTATGTTGTTCCAAGATAAGGAAGTTCTGTTGACAGAAAATTGGAGGGAGGAGGAGAACAGTGAGAAATGAGAGGGTGAAGTAAAGCACAGCTTTGAAACAGTTGCAGAAAATTAGTTGGTGTAAAATATTGTGAATCTTCCTCATTTTCTTCAGACCACAGAGAGCCCATGCTAGTACTGGGAATAAACTGTGCGTGGGGAATCTTGAATGGGTTTCAGTTACAGGAGTTGTGCAGCAATCTTAGTTTAGATTTCTGAGAAATATATATTAGAAAGGTTAGCCTGAGATCATTGCATTACACAGGGCTGTGATATTCTTTAAATTCTTGCTATCAAGGTGAAAGCCAAGTTTTAGTCTGAGGAGGAAAAGGCATTTGTCCGTAATGAGTTCATAGAGAAAGGGCTGTGCCTGAAATGAATTTGAAATAGAAAGATGTATGATGTGTTGTTTGCTTTACTGTGATAACAAATTATGCTTCAAGTGGTTGGATTCTGATCATACAACTCTTTAAATGCTGACAAAACAGCAAATTTATTTGAAAATGCCAGAGTTTTTTTCCCAATTGGAAAGCAATACGAATAAAACTTGGATGGAAACTATCAGAATCTGTTATTTATATTGGATGGGATTTTTAGCAAAAAACTTTAACCTTGTTAAAAATTCTATGCCTACTGAAAAATAATCTATTTTTAAATAGATTGAGTGATCAGGAATAGAACTTAAATATTTAAATGAGTAAAGATTATAATACTTTTATGGTTCTGGAGACAAACTTTTTAGCAGGGCCCATAGCAGTAGGACAAGTGGCAATGTTTTTAAATGAAAAGAGGTCAGATTTGGACTAGATAAAAGAAAAAAGAATTGTACTGTGAGGGTGGTGAAGTCCTGGCACAGGTTTCCCAGAGAAGCTGTGGCTGCCCCATCCCTGCCAGGTTGGACAGGGGAACTTAGAGCAACCTGGGACAATGGAAGGTGTCCCTTCCCATGGCAGGATGTGGAGCTGGGTGAGCTTTAAGGTCCCTTTCAACCCAGACCATTCTGTGATTCTATGTGAAGAGCACATTTTCCCCTATTTCAGTATGTAATCTCTGTGCAGACAAGGCAATGTCATGCTGCTGGAAAATGGAAAGCAGTTCTTTGCCTTCTGATGTGTATCCAGGCTGTATCCTGTATCCAGGCTTCAGAGATGAGCACTGAAACAATGAGATTTAGTAGCTACTTTCTGGCAAAAAAAGCCCCTATTCTATATGACCCACTTGGTTTGGTTTTTCCTACTTTCACTGCTATTGTAAAAATCATTAGGAGGGAGTTCACGGTGAGTGTGGATCTCGGTATTTAAAATCTCTGCTACATAACCACTGGAGTTGCTGGTAATGTAGGCAGGGTTACTGCTAACCACAGCTGGCCAGATGTGTGTGTTTGCACACACTCATGTGTTTCAGTACTGTCAGTAGGTTAACTGATCCAGTATCTTGTGGTGCTGTTTTGCCTGGCTCCAATACTCTCTGGTGTTCCTTAGATTCATTTGGACACCATAACTATGTCCTTCTGTGAAAGCCTAAGAAATGTAGGAGAGGGTTTTACTTATTGTTTCCCAGTATTGCAAAGGCAATAGGCGAAAGATGCCAGTGATTCCTTTCCACAGTCCTGTACTTAATTTGGAGTGGAGGAGAAAGGAAAAGTGACATTATTAGTGTACCACTGTAAGCTGCTGAGTCTGTTCTTGTACCTACTCTGAAAGGATGAGGAAGAGAGAGCAGAAAAGCAAGAAGAAACCTTGGGGAGACTTGTTTAGGCACAAAGGTGGATAAAGATGCAAAATTGCATTTGTTACAGTGAAATGGGTGTGTGCAGCTACTGGGTAGTTGCCCACACCAGTCTACTGACTTCTGTTGAGACAGCAAAATGATACCAGTAAGGTTGTTAACTTTCTCTCTTACCCTGTATGTGTTGATGAGATTTGTTATTTTTATACTACTTCTAAATAAAGGATCTGCAAGTTCTCTGTAAGCTTTTGTTAATTAGGTCAAACAAGGCTCCTGTGAGTTTTTAAGTCAGCTAAGGAGATCACTGAAACTCACTGTTGGTGCACAGTAGCTATTTTAACTGTAAAAAAAAATTCCTCAGAGTCTAAGATGTAATGTGAGAACTATTTCTGTTGAGAGAGCAGATGACTGTGGAGAGACCAAACATAATTGCCTAATTTAGAGTTTGGTCAGATCAATAACATTAATTTACTACTTTTATGCAAAGGGGAGCAGGGGATGTGTGGGGTGACTTCTTGTCCTCTTTCAGGTGTAAGACCTAATGGTGTGGGAATAGATGGAATTTTTGCCAGCACAGTGTGAAACCAATTTTCCATTGGCTCCTTCTAAATTTCCTGAGGGATCCTATTAAGGAACAGAGTGGGTAGTAGGACGTGGTGCAATTGCAGCTGTGTGATTTGGTGGTTTTGGGTGTCCTTAAAATTGAAGCACTAGTTAAAACTAATCTTGAAAAATGCCATTCACTGAACCACTAAGGTAGTTTACTCTTATGGGGAGTGTTCTAGGAGACATTTTTATTCAGTGGGATGTGCTTTGCTTCACATCT